TTATTCATTCTAAAATATTTTTGTTGCCCTACAACATACTTTTTTGGAAAGAGCATTTCGTTGTGTAAAGTTCGGAATGCTGCAATGAGTGCTGGAGTACTTTTCCAACTCGCAAAAACAATCTTCCCGAGACATATGAAAAACAACCTTTTTCGCGTGGTAACGAAAGAGTTAATATTAAATATTATTCTAGTTATTCTTAGACTCTCTTTATTAAATACTAGAGCTTTGTGGTTATACCTTTATCGAAACATCTTATACAATACAAAAAATAGATATATACCCTTAATTGTTTTCTCTTTTAATTTGTTGAGTTCTTCAATTAGCTGTGCCGTGACGTTAGACGGCTAATTAATGTTTGACTAGCAAGATCAGCTACATATTTGCTTGAGGGCATACAACAATTACGTTGGGGTAAAATATGTGCTCCCGCACGTTTATGCACCTATCACCAGGGTTGCCAGTGGCTACTTTGCACCAAACTGGCTACTTCCTGACCCTGTCTGGTGACAGAAATTTCATGTTGGCATGCTGGTTACTCTCTGGCTACTTTTTACTTTTATTTTGGTGCACTTAATGGCCATTTCTCTGTATTGTTTAAACAAAAAACAACACACATGTTTAAGAAAACAGCAAGCTTTCTGTCATGTTGGTCTACAGGTGTAAATGTCCTTCCTTCGCCAGTGGGCTAGTGTGCACTTAGGCACACAACGAGCATCCCTCTGTCTTTTCAGACAGAGGAGTGCGCACATGCAAGGAAATGCGTGGCTATCTAGCTCATTACTGGTGCCATGTACTAATGCTGAAACACCATGTCAAAGAGATATCAGAAACAAAATGGAGCTGCACTGGACTGTTCATCTTCAATCAGATTTCACAACTTGATGATCGACTGACATTATTCTAACTTTGTACAAATTAAGATCTATGGCTTCAAGAAAAGAAAAAGAAAAAAAAAAGAAGCTTCAACGTTTAAAGTTCCTGCTGAGTTGTTGGTCAAAAATTGCTTTTTCAAGAACTCTAAGATCTATGGCTTCAAGAAAAGAAAAAGAAAAAAGAAGCTTCAACGTTTAAAGTTCCTGCTGAGTTGTTGGTACTTTTTCAAGAACTCTGTCTATAGTAGAAAAACTGTTTGCAAATGCACTGAAAGTAAAATAAATTATGAAATGATTCACAACTTACCTGTGGCTTGGAAACCAACAAATGAGAGGGAAAATGTTGTGCTGGTTATGCTCTATTTTTGCTTTTTCAAAATCACAATTTTTGCTGTTGAATACCGACAACTTTACACATAACATCACTGTTTTGTTTTCTGGTTGGCTACCAATTTGGTGCCAAGAAATTTGGCACTAAGGTCAAATTTCATGGCTACTTTGACTACTTTTAGCTTGAGTTTTGGCTCCTTTTCAAATCTACCCAACGGCAACCCTGCCTGTCACAACCATCATTCCTCGGTGTAATAAGGTGAAAAATAACTGACAAATTATCATCATGAGAGGAGTCTTCTGTCTCAACACGAGTGTAGCACACACTGCTGACGAAAGAGATAAAATGCACCAGATAGTAATAAATAGCACCAGATAATATGAGCCAGAACTGATTTTGGTAAAGCTACAACATCATGGCTCATTCCCGTTTCTCTTGTTGTGTATGTCTGCTATCTTAGGTTAATATATGGCCCTTGCTAACCTAAAAGTGGTTTTGTCGTTGTGTGCAGTGACAGTCTTCATGTCGCAGTTAGTCAGAATTCTCCTTGCAAAGACTGGGGGAGGGGGGACTTGATATATTTTTTCTCCTACACTTCTGCATGTACTCTGTAAAAAAACAATTTTATCTTGTTTTATTATGTTTCCTACTTTTTCTTAATTTACCCTGTTTTGTGTTATGGTCTTGTAAGTCCTTTTTTTATAACAAGCCCATCTACTTCACATTTCAATTTTAACTTTGTGGCAATTGAAAATGGAGTACTTTAAACTGCTTGTGTGTGCTTGTGTGTGCTTGGCAGCAGTCACTAAATGCAGTCCTACAAGAACTGGGGCAGTGAAGAAGGTTGAAGTGGCGAGGGGGATTTCTCATGTCTCATATATGGGTGATATCTGAATGGGATTTGAACTTGGGATTTCAGGAACATTAACACCGATCTTCAAATGACTGAAATCTGGATGTCAATTTTCAAATATTGAGTTTTGTTCCATGGTTATGTTTCAACACATGGTGATCACGTGACTTGCCTCATGAATGCTAGAGGCCAGTCATGTCTGTGTTTACCTCATGCACTTATTAAGGAAATTTTTCAAAAATAGAGTATGGGACGAAAACAGTTGTGTGCAGGCCGGCCCATGTGTCTGGCACCCTAGTGCTATCAGATTACCACAGCTGAATTGGCTACGGTCCGAGTGGGGGCTTTAAAGGGATTGACAGCTGCCCAGTACAAGGTCTCTGTAGATGTTGGTAGAAATAGAAATATGTACCATGAAATTATAAGGAGACATAGTATAACCTTATTACAACAGATCCGCTTACAACAGACATTCAGTTACTACAAACTAGTTTGCGGCGTTATGTCAACCTTCATATTTATTCCATATTTATTCCATTGATTGAGCTTTATTTACTACAGATTCTGGTATAGCGGATATTCAGATATAATTGACTAAAATGTGAGGCCAGCAAGGTGACCAGCACTCCATTACAGCAGGCCTTTCTACCGCGGACATCTCAAATTCAATAACTTCCGACTTCAAACATCGCTTGGCATACTTTGGGGACGGGAATAGGACCGCGGCTGTCAATGTACAGATTTAAGAACGAAGGCCACATATCTGGTCTGTTAGTGATGAGTTATGTCTAGCTATGACGATGAAAAATCCGCGCACAACGTAATTGATTTCATGTGTTGGGGCACTGACGCGTAAAACGGCTCACCGCTGCCATTGCTGTTCCGAGCGGTCAGTGCATGACGAGCATGGCTGAGGTCCGCTACCGATGCGCAAGATTAGCGGTTCTAAGGAGCCAGCAGCCGATGTGGTTTGTTGCTTGCGACGAAACACATTGTCTAACACATTGTCTTTTTCGCTTTCACATGCAGCCGATGTGGTTTGTTGCTTGCGATGAAACACATTGTCTAACACATTGTCTTTTTCGCTTTCACATATACGCTAGCACGACAGTCTTGCCTACCAAGTTCAGGGCAAAGTTAGGCCTGGACATGACTTCAAGCAGAAAGTGCGGCTGTGATGTGCATGGCTGCAGTGCTAGATGTTTCAAAGTACGACATGCTCGATCTCGAGTACAAAGCTCTGTTTCATAGTGGTCTTCATCGCAAGGTCCAAAGCGCTGATAAGCAGAACCTTCTCACCAACAACTCAACACTACGACAATCCGTTCAAGATGCACTCATGCAATGTCGCAACGAGTATAGCGCGTGATCGTAATCTGAAGAATGAACTTCCCCTTGCAGCTGCCTTAACAACTCGTGAACATAAAAAACGAGCGCAAAAATGTCACTAAATAGTGCAATTTTAGACAGATACGACCTTGCGACACACAATAATCAGACGACTCTATCCTAGAGAGCGTATTCAAAACGAGCATCGGACTAGCGATGCGTACTGGCATGTAGCTTCCCAAAATCATACTAGAGAGGACTCTGGTGCTACGATCATTCAGCAACCATGGGAATGATAGGTAGTACATGGATTTGTCTAGTCTTCGTACTTGCGGGTGGTGAATCGCACTTGTGGCTTCATTTATTGCTGTGTTCCAGTTTTGTTTCGAAAGAAAAAACGAACCCTTTTGAGTTTCATGACCCGATGTGCAATTGTAAGCCTAAAAAAATAAGGGGGTGAAGCGCAACCGCTGAACATAAGCTGATTTTTGTTTTCGTGAGAAAACAGCTACAAGATACATGGACATACACAGAGCCAGAAGTACGAAGATTAGACGAATCCGTGTACTACCCATCATTCCCATGTTCGTTTAAGCGCCGTGGGTTGCAGCTCCCATAGACACTAGTGCCAGAGTTCCCTCTAGTGTATATTTAGGAAAATCTATGCGTACTGGAGCAATACGGCAGAAGCAGCCAATTGAAATCCTCCAAATGAATTTCAAGCATCTGCTTTTTGAACACGCAATGCTCTTAAAAAATACTTTTACAATGAGCCCAAAATGGCGGTGGGCAGTTGTGCCATCGCGAAGCTATTAATTTTTGAAAACCGCCCTTTTTTCTTTGTGACTTCCGTGATAATTTTCACCTCTTCAGCAGGCGCAAAAAACTTTTTACAGCACTTCTACGTAGTTTTCAGTGAAGATGTTTTGGAATCAGATAGAAAACAGGCTACAGACATTGAAGAATGTTTTCTCAAAAATCAGCTTTTTTATGCCCCATTGAGAATAAATTTGACATGACTTGTGATTATCTCCTGTTATATCAGACCCATTAAGTGTTTCCATAAAAGTCTGTTGTAACAGTACTTGTTGTAACATACTCCTTTTACAACCGACCAAAATCCTCTTCACTATGAAGGTCTGTTGTAAAGAGGTTATATTGTAATTTATTATGGTATTCATGATTAAAATAGAAAATTTTGAATTGTCTAGAAGTCGAAAAGCACTACGATGCTATCACTGACACATTACATTACAGACTGCCCATACTCTGTGTGTTGTATGCTCTTGATACAATTATTGGCACTCATGTAAGCAGTACTGAAGCAGTAATACCCTATTGACTGGTTCATTTGTGCTATCAATCAATAAGCGCCAGAAATGATAGTGAGATCTTGTCTACAGTTGCTTTGCACAGGTTTACACCACAATTTTTTTGTGACTGTACCACGTATACACACATTGTAAGCGAAGCTCATATTGCATTGTTATAAAATAAGGGAATGCTCCTCTTCCTCCTTGCCCCCCCCCCCCCCCTTTCCACTTTTTTTTCGTGTGTGTGTCATGTCTCTACGTGTACGAGTTCAGTGGAGGATGGTGATATTTTCTTGTCCAATTCCAGAATGAAGGCCGTGTGGGACACAACAGCGGTGCCTTAGTGAAAGCAGCACAAAAGGCTGAAGAATTTCTGCGGAAACGATGCCTTGGCAGCAGTGTTAATGCGAAGAGATTTTTCTGGGATGAAGGTAATCCTGCATACTATTATATAATTTTGCACAGGGTGTGTGCTCTATCATTGCAAAACAGGCAAATATCTCATTCATAAAAAAGAGATCAAAGCATTTTTTATGTGTTTTAATGCATGGAAGGTTCTTTTTTTACTGCAGTGATTAATTGTAGTCAGGGCCCTTTTATATCATTGGGATCATTTTAAAATGTCTCACTCGTGGTGCATATGGTGTCATACATTTACGTTAATTTTTATATTAGTGGAGCACTACTGTTCATAATATTGATGTTTTAGACATTCCCAAACATTGATCTCTCACTCTAGTGGAAATTGTTATTTGCCTTTAGTGGTCCCTTTAAATGAAGCAGACATTAATGAAACTGCAAATTTACAAGATGGGTAGGTGTAATTCTTCAGCCCATAAGGAAATGTCTCAGATGAGCTCAATGAATTCATAATCGATAGTTCTCACTGGTGTTCATATATTTGTAATGTCTCCAGGGTTGAGCAACAACTTGATAAAACATAACTATCATCCTCGGCCTATTCTATGTCCACTGTAGAATGACAGCCTTTCCCATTGATCTCTGACTTTTCTCATCTTGCTTAAGCTGACTCCCTGGTCACTGTCACCATTGCATTGCCGGAAGCGGCTTAAGATTGTCCTCATTAGGTCGCTGTTGAGTCCATGGGTCAGGAAATGCTTAACGCTGTAGTAGTCAGCAGACCAAACAAACACAACTTGCACCCTAAATGCAGGCATTGTTTAGTCATTGCATAGCAAGTTAATGTACAGCAAATTAATTATTAGCCAGGTTTGTGAGCTTATTCTCTTTGACAGCAACTGTTGATTGATTTGATTGATATGTGGGGTTTAACGTCCCAAAACCACCATATGATTATGAGAGACGCCGTAGAGGAGGGCTCCGGAAATTTCGACCACCTGGGGTTCTTTACCGTGCACCCAAATCTGAGCACACGGGCCTACAACATTTCTGCCTCCATCGGAAATGAAGCCGCCGCAGCCGGGATTCGAACCCGCGACCTGCGGGTCAGCAGCCGAGTACCTTGGCCACTAGACCACCACGGCGGGGCGACAGCAACTGTTGCTTATGATGTCATACTGATAGCCCTATAAACGTATAATGTCAGTGACTGCCCAAGGTCTTTCACGCTTTCATGTCTTGCATCTTCAAGGTAACTGATGAAGTCTACTTCAAGCCATGCCAGCCTGTTGTTTTCAATTTTCTCTTGCTGCTTTTCTCTCATATTTCCACATTAAATTATTTCTCTTGTTGATCTTAAATTTACAGTGTCGACAAAAACAGACAACTACAAATACTGGGACAAGTACAGATTATGAATTATGATCTAGCCAAAACTACCATCTTGCCAAGTTATTGCTGTCCCACACTTCTTAAACATGTTGGCTTTCACCGTGGATTTTTATGCAGGTATGCGAGAATAGCAACTGCCACAGGCAAGAAGAACATCCTTGCATGGCAGACCTTAATCTTTTCGAGTTTGCCGAGCTCAGCATAAGACTCTCTTCTTAGCAGCAGCTGCACTGATTTGACAAGCACATTTCTTTGGGGGTTGTAAAGCATATTAAATTGAAAAAAACAACAACTTCTCCAATTGGTTTAGTACCATTGGCCATTTCTCTTTCTAGCAAGTTTGGCCTGAAGCCTCAAAGTTTTGATGAAGAGACTAAGATAAGTGATAAGGACAAGGTGCACTTTTGCATACAGGATGTGGAGCAATATTGTGGAGCATATCATTGCATGATCTGTCATGAAACTTAGCCTTGTAGATTTAGTGGTTCTCAGCAATGATATGGACAGTTACAGGTCTTTTTTCTATAGCATCCATGATTATTCAGTGTATGATGAGGAGAAGCTGATTGTGGTGATGATTTAAATAAAAAAGATATGACTAGAATTACATGTGCTATGAGAAGTTCACCAGAACAAAACACAGGAGCATGTTGGCTACTGCGGTGGTGCATGCTTCAGCCTGGCTAGTGATATTGCCACAGGAAATTACCATTGCTCCATGCAACGCGGACGTCGGGAACCAGAGAAACGCTACCGGCACGACTACGAGCGACGAAGCCAGCCGCAATGCACGAGCCGGCCCTGCATGCGCGCGGTACTCCACCGAACAGCCAACGCGCGTGAAGAAGAAGAGAACGAGGGTGCTCGAGGCAGAGGCTCACAAGAATACCGACCTTCGGATCTTCTTGATTGCTGTGCTTCGTTCACTTTGGGCACAAGTTCACCCTTAATAAACCGTGTAAATAGAACGTACTTGTTGTGAGGCTGCTACATTCGTTACATTTTCTGGCGAAGGTGCCGGGTAGATGATTCCGAACCCCACGAGAGAGCGAAGTGCAAGCCCTGACCATCCGCAAGCCGTGGAGCTTACGCCGGTGCACCAGCGGACCAGTCGCCGTATTCGAGGGGATTCACCAGTATTTGAACCACTTTCCCCTGTGCCAAGGGCATCAGCGACGGAGACAAGAAACGCCACCACCATGACCAGCCAAGTTGCACCATCACAACTCATTGTCAGCCAACCCGTCATACCGAAGGTGTTCCATGGTGACCTGTTCGAGGACGCTGAAGACTAGCTGGATCATTTCGAGAGGGTGGCGAACATAAACCTATGGAGAAAGCAGGCAAGTTGCGCAACGTATACGTCTCTTTGGAAGATGCAGCACGAGTGTGGTACGAAAACCACGACGCATCTTTGACGTCCTGGAAAGAGTTCCGGCGGCAGCTACTGTGTCTGTTTGGCAACAATGATCGCCGGGAAAAGGCAGAAGCAGCTCTTTGTGCACGGAATCAACGCATAAACGAAACTGCCGCTATGTACATAGAAGACATGTCCCGCCTGTTCAAGCAAGCTGATCCCAACATGACTGAAGACAAGAAGGTGCGTCATCTCATGCATGGGGTAAAACAAGAGCTGTTCGCGGGACTCGTTCGCAATCTGCCGCGCACTGTTGCGGAGTTTCGGTCGGAAGCAACAACAATAGAAACAACGCTGCTGCAGAGAGCCCGGCAATACAATCGTGACGTAGCCTGTACATCAGCAGAGGTCTTCTCGGCAAATGTTGTCGATAATTTTGACACTCTGCGGGAGCTCGTCCGGTCAGTTGTCAGGGAGGAACTACGCAAGCTGCAGCCACCCGCTTCACCGGAACTGTTTATTGCGGATGTTGGCCGAGAAGAAATTCGGCAGGCCATATGGGAGCCGCAGATGGATGCACCATCGACACGACATGCGGTAATTTATTCTGAGGTGCTCAGGTGGCCTGCTGTCCACTGTGCGCCTATCGAGACACCTGGTACTTACGCATGGTACTTACGCACCGACAACACGTAGCCCCCACCATATCGTAGAGGCAACTCGCAGCGCACCTCTTTCGACAGAGACAAGACCTCGAAAAGCGATGTATGGCGAGATGCGGAACGTAGGCCCCTGTGCTTCCACTGTGGAGAGGCTGGCCATCTGTACTGGTTTTGCCGATATCGTCAAGCTGGTGTTCGAGGATTCGCGGTCAACGCACCGTGCCCGCGAAACGGTGAAAGGCCGTCCGACATCGAAGAATACCTGTGCTCCCGTCAGAGCTTCGACCTGCGTCGTCATCAACCGCGGTCACCATCCCCTCTATGTTAGCGCTCTACAAGCCTTGGTTCCTTTCCAAACGTACTTAGGCATCGTTTGCCTAGTCCAAACCCGGAAAACTGAAGTGGGCAACCTGTGGAGGCGAGGCTGCTGGTGATACGAAATATGAAGATCCTCCACTGCGACACCAGCGTGACGACTGTCTCCAGGTAAAGAAGTGCAGTAATGAGAAGATAACTTCAGACTTGCCGTTGGTAATTGACGGGCTAGAGCTCATGGCTTTAATCAATACCGGTGCGGATTACTCTGCCATAAGCTACAATTTAGCGAAGTGCCTCAGGAAAGTTCTGACCGAATGGAGTGGACCTCAAGTACGTACGGCAGGCAGTCGCCTTATTACGCCTCTCGGCAGATGCGCCGCAAGAGTTGAGATACGAGGTTTCACTTAAGTTGGTGACGTGGTTGTCCTGCCTGTATGTTCGAGAGAAGTTATACTCGGAATGGATTTTCTGCAAGCAAATGGTGCCATTATTAATTTGCAGAGGTCCAGCGTATCAGTTTCGATGGAACAAGCTGTAAAGGTAGCTCTAGCAGACGAGCAATACACCACTCCACTGCACATCGTCGATGATGATGTGACTGTACCGCCGCATAGGAGTGTAATGGTTCTAGTCAGAAATGATACGTTTGGTGACTACGAAGGTCACCAAACGTATCATTTCTGATGTGAAACATCCACTTGTTGTGGAAGACAACAACATGGATGTTTTTCTGAAAAGAGGTGTTTGTGTGGAACGAGGAATTATCCAGCTACGAAACGGGTACGCAGACATCCTCCTGACAAATTTTGGGAACGAATTCCAGCACATCACAAAGAGGACAGCCATAGCCTTTCTTCATGAGGTTTGTGAAGCCACAGAAATATGCAGCCTTGAAACAACGTCAACAGATATGAAACCAACATCTTATGTCTGCGACGTAATATCCGGAAATGCTAACCTTTCAGTGATCCAACGTCAACAGCTGCTATACGACCTTGTACGGGAATTCGGCAGCTGTTTCTCCAATAGTTCAAAGGTACGGCGCACGACCATTGCAAAACACAGGATCGTAACAGACGAGACAACCAGGCCGGAACGCCAGCATCCGTACCACGTTTCACCAAAAGAAAGGGAAGTTATCAAGAATCAAGTACAGGAGATGCTTGAAGATGATGTTATTCAACCTTCTAACAGTCCGTGGGCATCTCCTGTAGTACTTGTCAAGCAGGGTAACACGCTAAGGTTTTGCGTCGACTACCGGAAATTAAATGCTGTGACTAAACGGGATGTATATCCCCTCCCGCGTATTGACGACACATTAGACAGACTTCGGTGTGCTAAG